TAACCATTAGCCAATAACCAACCAAGGTAACACACCCCCCCCCCCCCCCCCCCTTATCACCTGAATCTCCTCCTAGAGCACCATTGTGTTCTTTTTAACCAAATATCTCTCAGAGGGGCGTTGTGAGTGGCCCCTTATTTTCATCTAAAGTAACAGGGGTTTATGGGACGCTGCAATGGGTGATCTGCTTGGTGTTTCAAGGCCAAACACTTCAGAGACATGTTTGTATATATCTGAGACCTATAATATATTGATGAAAAACAGTATAATAGAGGACCTTTAAATTGCATTTAGGGCTTTTTGCAAGGTAACAAATACGTTACATGTGTATGTCCACAAAATTATACAAAGAAAGTTACATGCATTAGGATTTTCATAGTTCCCCATTTGATTTTCATTATTGTAGCAACCTTCAATCTACCAGTAGAAAATAGCCAAAATAACCTAAATTAAAGCAGAACATGTCTTTAGCCCTTCGCTGTCTTTTGAAAATGACAAAGCTAACACGACTGTGGCAATGGAAGCTATGCCTTTTTTGCGCTACAATCTTATTTGATATGTTGCAAGTGTAGCTTACATTATGTGCTCAGGTGTGTTGACACTGTTCAGTGTTTTACCTTTCTACCTTGCTTTTTTCCCACTCGTTCTGACTTTCCCGACACACTTTGTCCTATACTGTGTCTGCACTCATGTCAATTCCAATATGTGGGTTTTGATGAAACATTTATGAACCCTGAGACGCACACACAAACACACCAGCTGTCTCTTTGCCCTGCGCTTCAGAATTGTTCTCCATCCTGTATTTCTGCCCTACCTCCCACATTGTGAATTCATGAACTTCTGCCCTGCCATTCCCAATCATCACTCAAGGAGCTCCAATCTGATTTGTCAAAGTGACGCAATGTCAAGATGCTGGAAGTGGTCTTACGTTTCATTTCCACTGACAGACTGAAGAGCCTAATTCAGTCCCAGGAGTATTTTGTGAGGCGTAAAGAAGGTCCTTTGCTCAGACGGCACAATTCAATCAGACAACGGACCGCAATCCCTAAACTGAGGGAATTCTGAGAGATCCTTTCATTGTGAATTACATTGTTCAAGAGTTTGGATGGCGATACTGAGGCACGAAAAAAGATCCTTTCTTGGATTTTTAAGAGTAATCATGTTTGAAACCCATATGAGTCTTGTCTGTGATTGGTAACGACCTTGAGGAATTTACAGAGAGAGTAAGAGAAAGTAAAAGTAAAACAGAAGAAAGAAAATTCATTTTTGCTCATCTCCTCATGCTCCTCTAACAATATCGCGGTTAAAAAGGGATTATTTCTCTCAGGTCATTTCTAGTTTCAAGTACTAACCAGGGAACACTCATTCACAAGGATGGTAAGGTGGCTGGTGTTTTGACAAATAATTAATTCAGCTCTTGAGCACTCACACTGCCTGTGGCCTCTTTTGCTGCTTTCCCACGTCTGTTTGTCCTTCAAAAAGAGTCGGCTTTTGGAAGAGTGATGTCCAATCATGAGCCACTGAAGGCTGAGAGCACTTCACTCCAACAAAAGCACCAATCAGAGCAACTTCAATAACAGGAGGTCGCTAACTTGTTAAATCGGTTGGTGTGTTGTTTGCTTTGAATAATAATCTCTTTGGAATTTGTTAATATAACCAAGGACATTTTACTGCTGTGAATTGGAAATGAAATCTCACTCACACTGTCAAAGAAGGTTGAAAAGTTAAGAATTAAATGTTGCAATATAATTTTGATTCATGTTTTTTAATAACAGAGCCAGGAAAAAGCAACACTCCGTTTGCTTTGTACATATAAGCAACATGTAATCAACATAATGCAATACTGTTTTATGTATCAAAATAAGAGTAAAGACTGATAATATTTCTGGCAATACTAAAGCTAGCATAGAAAAACAAGAGATAGTAGATTGAAAGATCCTTTTAAACATGTTCATCCTCTAAAAATAAACAAAAAATGTGCCTGAAGACAAGGACAAGTAGCAACATCTTTATTTCATCAGTAAGCAACAGTGTTTACTAGAAACATGATCTTAACTACAGAAAGCACAATACCACTGGAATGAGACCAAGGCTCCCTGCTGTCAGCGCTGTGGTTTCATTTGTCTACAGTAATTATACACAGGCATTTTTATTATATTGTTGTTGATATATTAAAGGTCCCATGTCATGGCCATTTCTACTGATCATAATTCCGTTGTTGAGGTATACTAAAATAGATTTACATTGTGCAATTTTCCAAAATCTCATTGGTTTCTCATACAGCATCTCTGTATGTGTATTCACTCTCTGTCCTAAACGGCTTGTTGGAGCTCCGAAGGACTGTTCCAATGTCCAGCATACTTGGAATTCTACCGAGGTCTGGCGTACTTCGTAGCGGGAAATGTCGAGGCTGCACATGTGTAGACTCCGCGGTCTTAAAATCCCCACAATGCTTTGCGCACGGACCAATTTCCAAATCTTTGGCGGAAATCGCGCTCCATTTAAGGCGGGCCTCGCATATGACGCACACCTGCACACCTGTTAGCCTGTTCCACAATTCTTCATTTTCCGAGGCTATAGGAAGGATTCTTGCCTCGCTTCTGAAGCAAGTGACTCGGAAGACATGTGCTACCAAGCAAGCGTCCTCGACATTGAGAAACACCCAGGGTTAGTGCTAGATCGTATACCTCCTGGGTTTTAGGCGGCGGAAGTGACGTAATCGTGGATGAGAAGTCGGCAACTTTTGCAGCAACTGACAGCACATCTGGTAGTAAAAGTAGACACATTTAATTTAATTTTGCATGGGCTCCGGAGGACAGTGAACAGGAATCAAATGCACTCAGTGGCTTTCTGAGTGTTAAATCCCATCTGTGCTTTTCTTCTTGTGAGATGTCATTTTTCTTTAATATTAGTAATAGCCTGCTGTCCTCCTAAGTTAAGTAATTCTCAAAATATTATATTTATGATATTTTTGTGGAAAAATGATGTATTCATGCTCGTCTCTTGTCCTGGGTGGCAGGTTACGTCACTTCCCAGGAGGTATACAATCTAGCACTAACCGCATAGACAGGTCTTTTCTGTGTTAGAGTTTTACTCGCTACAGGGTGTACTTTGAGGGTTTGTGACTTTGCAGACCGTTTACATGCAGAAAAACCTTCATAACACACAAGGGGACGGGTAATAACCGGAAAAGCATGACATAAAAAGCATTTAATGTTGAAAATACTTCATGTAGCATTTTTAAAGAAAACCATATTGTCAAGAAAATTGAGAGAGAAAAAGACATTTAGAACATAACATGATTAGATGTGTCTGTTGCCCATTTGAGGTTTTGTTGGCCCATGCCTTATCCTAAATGAGCCAAAATATGCACTTGAAGTATTTTCATCCAAAAATAGGACATTTCATATCTTGTTGAAAAGTATGACTGATTTACAAGTTAGGGAGTGTCAAAGATATACTAAAGCAAAACTAAAACATTTTATCACGATCAAAACTTACGACAAAACATTAATGTAAGGTTAACTGTGGTCCTTGCAATAATCTAACAAAGAGAAGGAATTGTTTAAATCCTGTAATGAGAACATTATTGATTATTTTTGTCACTCCACTGATGTGAATGCACATGATGGACAAGTTCTCGATGAGACCAGAACTTGAAGTGCACACGGGAGCCCCTCACCGTCACACACAGGTCCTCTGCACGGCTATGAGACACGCTGTCATCTCAAGCACCCAGCATTCCATTCAACACTTATCTCCTCTCTCCCCCCACTTTCTGCCTCTCAGTCTATATGAAACATGTATGGGAGCCTCATTCCTGGTACAAACAAATGTTCCCAAAAGACTCTGGGTCGCGGTAACACTGACACTTTGAATGGCTCTCGCCCACCCTGCCGTGACCCCTGTGTTCACTTGTAGGCTTGTTTGTGAATAGAAGCACATGGGGAGGGGGGTGTTGAGAAGGTACCCCACAACTTAATTAAACTACTGAACACGTCCCGTTGGTCCTGAAGGGGTTATGAAATGGCAAGCATGCACAGGGCTCGCAGAGGAGAGAAATGAGATGAAGTTGCGTGTTTTATTTGTTTATTGATTTATAACCCGTGAATCATAGAGCTTCTCCTCAGTGCTCTTGACTGTATACAAATATGTACGTAGGCTTGCGTGAACTTAGGTTTTGACCATAGGTTTTTTTAAATCCAAAGTGAAGCTTAATTTGGTTGCCGTTGCCATGTTTAGCCTGTGAAGACTCTACTCAACTTGTTTAATCAAAAAATAGGCAAATAGGTTGAGAGTCGCTGTAACTGAGGCCGATATAGAAACTAGAGACCCGTGACAGCATCTAGCTGGCCACGCCCTTAATAACGCATCACAATGAGCCTCTATAAAAGGTAAGTTATATTTAAAAAAAAAAAAATGTAGCAATGAAATTGAGCATTTTAACATATGGATTGACTCACTTTTTATTTTGATGACTTATTTTTTCAGGTACTACAACATGCCTAACTAATATATTTGAACTGTTGGCTATATGTTCCACAGTTTGCCTTGGAATTACCACAAATACAATCCAGGTTCAGCACAATTGTCTAATGTGCAGAATGTCTTTAGGGAGCTTCATTTGATGTATTGGTGACAATTTATTTTACCCACCCAAACTCTTTTAAATAGTTGATTAGTGGCTTACTTCATCTAGCCTATTTTAACACTTACAATGTTTATAAGTACATCATAATGTGTTACAAATGATTTATTATAGGTTTTTTACACTGTTTAGAAATGATGAATGGCTCTATAACAGTTTCTAAAAGCTACATTGTTTGCTACTAAATGCACTTCACATGATGTTGAAATGGTGATATGAATCATGTGAAGGAGCGTGCCTCCAAGTTTTGTGTTGTGCGTAAAGGAGGGGCAGCTACTGCTCTCTCCCTCTCTCCCTCTGCTGTACAGGCGTGGTGTAGTCTGTCTCTCTCTTTCTCTCTCTCTGGCTGAAACAGACTTCTGTTGGGCAGCTGTTGGAAATGAACTGAAGGAGTGTGAGCCGTCAGAGCGGAGTCAGTGCAGCTCAGTCAGTCCGCGGAGAGGACACAGCTGCTCGGTCAAATACCCTTTTACGCACCGGGGAACTACCTGGAAACGCAAGTGTTGGCACTGTGACAACAAGGAACCAGCCGTGTCCCTCTCTAAATCCTGCTGGAATATTCTGCTTGATTTTTGCCGACACAATTTGAAATTACTAGTTAAAACCCGGAGTGCATCTCTCCAGCAGAATGAAGGGATTTATTCTTGTGGCGCTTCTTGTCGCCACCGTCTCAGCGACCAAGTTAAACGTACCGCGACTGAGACTGTCATACAAAGGTAATTCAGTGATTCATTATCTATCTATTTAATTATCTATATATCTGCGCAGCTGTTCTCTATCACCATTTATCTGTACGTGCGCGTGCCCCACAGGTGGCATTAATTGGCGATCTTGACAGTCTGGTGCTTAGTATTTGACTTTTCTCATTCTCTTTTCAACAAATACTGTATATGTTTTGTGTGTGAACATTTTACACATTTTACCCTTGTGGTACTGCAGTTTACAGGCTTGTTTTTATTTGTATTTGTGTATTTATCTCGAACTATTCTCTTCGTGGTGGTCCGAGCTGGAAGCGTTAAATCCAGGTCGATGTTCTGGCTTCTGTTGTGGGAGGTTTATGTGTTTTACAAGGCTCGCAGACGTTAATTTGCTGGTTTCCAGGCGGGGTGTCCAGCCGGAGGAGATTTTAGCTGAGGTTCATCTCTGCGGTGGGATACGATGCTCCAACTATGAAGGTGTATTAGGAGCGGCAACCGCAACGGAAATATCTGGGAAGGATGTTAATAAGCGTGTATACTGCGGTGTAGTTACTAACATTATGTAATTAGGTCTGAAGGACTTAACAGCACAGGTCATCGAAAGTACCACTAATTGTCCATCAGACGTGGATGTCGTCTGTTACACAAGGTCAGATTGTCTAATCTTTGATAATGACCTTTCACCTTGTAAATACTCAAAAAATAGTTAATTTACCTTACAATCTGGATGGAAGTGTAATTGCATTTTATTGTTTTTTTAGGCTTGAGGCTTTTTACTGCCAATGACCGAGATTTAAACATTGCCATGTACAGTATCGTTTTGTCCTGTTCTCATGATGTTGGACATGACTCACTCAGGTTGAATGAGGAAGTTAAGGTTCGTTGTGTGTGTGTGTTTAAATGGTGTTGACTGTGTTGTTGCCAAGCCATGCTCATTGTTTCATTTTTGCTCTGGCCAGAGCGGGTCTGCAATCATTATCAGCGATAGATATCACACAGGATTTCCTCTTGTTCAACTCCATGTTTCCAGGATAAAAGTCACCAGCTGAGGTAACAGGTCTTCCTGTTGGCTGACTGGAAATATTGCTCAGAACAGAGAGAGAAATAAACTTATGTATGAGACAGAAAAAACTAAAATTGATTTAACACGTAGGATATACGGCATCATAAGACAAGCAGAGTAATTGTAGTCTCCATATGCTTTTTTTTTTACCAACTGAGCTACTGCTATATAGCCTACTTTCTTAACATGTGTTGTTGGCCTTTTGGCAGCAGGCCGTAGGATAACATGTATTAAGTCGTAGAAATGACCATATTCATATTCATGGTCCTGCAGAGGTAAAAACTTAAAGTGGACCTATCATGCTATATTATAATAATATAGTGTAGGACCATACCTATATAAGGCATATTTATACTTTTTTTTTTTTCAAAATACCAAACAGATCATGCATTTTAGCCATGCCTCATTTTGCTCAATTTGCACTTTTTTACCCCTGTTTTTGCAAGGGCTGATTCTGTGAGAACAGCACCACCTACAGGCCTGGCATATGTACTACAGCGTCTCCAGCGCTTTCGAACGGCAATGGTCGTGGCTGTCTCCTCCTGATTGGTGGAGAGTTGGCCCAATAGCCGTAGTGCCACCGTCCTGACGTCAGGACAGTGTTCAAATCTGGATCAGTTTTTATCAGATCCGTTGCAGCCCCTTTTTTAGAGATTTGGGTATGGAGGAAAATAGAGAGGGTTGTGCTTTCTGACACTTGGTGAGTTCCCTGGAACACCGGGGACACATTCATGTATAAAAGACGTACACAAGTGCATTTTGCATGATAGGTCCCCTTTAAAGCTTAAAGTGACCCCTGACCTTTTATCTAGTGACACCATCAGGCCAAAATGTGCACTTATAATATAATATAAATGTATCCGACACATCACCATGACATTTTCTGAACACATTCCTGGTCCCCAGAGGATGAACAGTTTTCGAGCTTTCCCTCTTTCACCACCACCTTGAGGCCAAAAACATGGACTTGCACAAAAGATATCTCATAGGAATAGATTGCCATGAAGTTTGCTGAGCATATTGATGCGGACATGGGGATTAACCTTTGTAATTAGATTGACCCTATAGCCTTGCCTCTTGTGACACTCACAGATACAAATGAACCACCTTAGGACCAATAGCAAAATTGTTAGTATGTTGTTGTATGTTGGTTAATGGGCGTTACAAAAATGTAATTTTTTTTTTTTTTTTAAACCTCTCCATCCTAATTAGATGTTATAGTTAAATCACTACATAATGTCTTGTGATTCAATGTTAAATGTTTTAACCTTGCCATACATTTACTGAATGGTGTCTTGATCTTTAAGAGATAATATTCAGAAAATCCTGCAACATAATTGAGTATACAGAGTGAGCCTCAGTTATTGAACAAACAAAGTCAGGCCCTGGGCAAACACTATAAGTGGAAAAAATCCGTGCCCAAGGTTGTGAGTCACAGCACTTTACTCTGCAGAGCCCCCCTTTTCAAAGCTTTCCGAGATCAATTTTCACTTTGGTCTAGCAATAAAAAGCACCATATAAAACCAGTTTTTCTTCATTACTTGCCATCGGAAAATTGCTCTCATTTTGCCAGCTTCACGAGGAGTGTGGGAAGAAATTGTGCCTATAGGATTCTCATTAGTGCCCAACAAGTTTCTTCCTGTCGGGATGACCTCAGATTTGATCCCACTCTTTGCCCCGTTTTACATAATTTCCCCCTCGGCTCAATTCTCTTTTTTTCTTGTTTGTCTTTCCCCGGTAAATCGTTCCATACGTCTCCATGTTTCTTATCTTCTCACTTTTTTAGTCTCATTTCTCATTCCTCCTCCTAACCTCAGCGTTCCCCCTGTTTGTGTGTCTCTTCCTCTATCGCTTGCTCTTTCATTATAACACGGAGAAGCCTGGAGGGTGTTTGTATTCCCCGGAGGATGTAGAGGTAATTTGGCGACAGGAAAAGCTGTCATTATCTCATTTCAATCAATTAGTGGAAGGTCAAGCAGGAAGTAGGCCATTTTACCTCCGAACTATTACAATTCAATCCAGTACTCTGTATGTTTACCTTAAACATCCCATTCAACATTGATTTAGCCATTTAAGTCCATCTATGTAATTGGATGGAGATTGAATCTTATCAGACATTTATTAAACATTTCCAAAGCCTTTCAACATAAAATCACTTTATTTCACAATGAAATAGGTCCTCAATACACGTTTTAATATATTCATTTAAATGCTAAAAGAAATCCATATCTTTTGGGGAAGAAAAATTGCTTTTCACCCAAAAATATTGCATTTTCTATAGTTATGGAAGACTTTAACCTCTCTTGACTAACAAATAACAAAATCAGTATTTTATCGTTTTTCACTTCCTAACTTTATGAATGATTTGATTTTCTTTTATTGCTATATTTGTTTATGATCATAGCAAACATAAAGACACAATTCCGGTTCATGTTTGTTTTTCAACCTAATTTGCAATTATAACTCCTGACAACAAAGTGAGAATGTGTGTGTGTTCTTGTGTGATCATGTGTGTACTGGGGGTGACATTGAGGCGTTGAGGTATGCGATGTCTGTGTGGTTGACTGCACTCCCAGCCCTCTGCCAAGCGTCTATACCAACCTCCCATCATGCATCTCTCTTTGCCTTTCTCTATGTGTCTATGTATGTCTTTGATTTGTCTTCCTCTCTCTTCAGCCTGCTTCACTTATTCATTTCAATTCCCTCCATCTATGTTTGTGCTCGCTCACACAGAAACACACACTGACTTTAGACACACACTCCATCTAATACAATATTCACTTTGTCTCACCAAAGACAGGGGGCACTTGAGAACCCCAACACACACACACCAGCGTCCTATCATGATCAGATTGCATTAGTTCTCAGAGTGAAGGGTTGTGTTTGTTTTCACTTACAGCCTGTGAATTAATGAGTTTTTTTTCTCATTCAGCGTAGCCCAGATGCGCACATTCAGACGGGTGTTAGTTGTTCTTAGGCGGAGCGGGGTAATCTGTCACCGGGAGTCTGTTGGAGACTCCCAAGCTGCTGAAATGTAGGGCGTCTTCCATCCTTTCATCTTTCAGCTCTTTTCTTTTGCCATTATTTTTCATCCATCACTCCCTCCCTGCTCCATGTAATAGCTGGTTCATTGCACTTTTCCTCTCTCCTGGCTTTCCTGAGTTCAGTAAGTGCTCCCAGACCTCTGTACTGATCTAAAACCCAGCAAAGGAAAGACAAAGAGGAAGCAAAAGAGATAAACTTTAAGGTTTTTCTAACCAAGCCTTCTTGTTCTTTTATTAGGAAGTATATAAGCTTTGGCTCTAAGAAATATTGGACAGAAAATAGGGTTTTAGAGGTTTTAATGTTTTAATAATGGTTGACATGTGTTTGAATCTCAAATGTTTGTGTAATTCCTTGAAAAAGAGTCATGGCAGTTTAACCCTGCAGGCTCACAAGCCAATTTTCAAAAGTTTACAGAACATGAACAAGAGTCCAATTTGTTTAAAAGATAATGAAAACTGCAATGAAAGAAAAGTCCTGGTCCAGGTAAAAGGTTGAACCCTTTATTGATATCTGTAATCGTAGTTTAACAAGCTCATAAGGCTTTTAAGCGAAGGCAGTGGCAACCTAATGTTAGCGAAATGTTTCAAAAGTTTTGTATCAAGGAATCGTGTCCCCAAAATGATTCACTTTAACCCCCTTATAATGGCATTTCATTGTCTGTCAAGTATTTTAATCAGAGTCTATCATGGTATAGATTACTCAATTAGGATTGCATGGTTGGTGTGTTTCATATAAGGAATACTGAGTGAGTGTCGGATATCTACTCTAATATTGCAATATCAATATATTATTGCTATTATAACAAAACCGCTATCATTCCTTTCTTCTGTATATTAAAGACACACTCCATAACTTGGCAACTGCACGAGACACAGTTTCCTGTTCTTGTTGCAGTTAAAGTTTATTGTAA